AATATATAATATGTTTATATAGTCTGAAAATAGTTCGTGGAGTTTCTGCCAAAGTAAAGAGAATATCGGATTTTATATGAACTTACGGGCACATGCAAGGACTCTATCAGAAAGGAGAGGAAAAAGGGTATCAAGAGGGGTCCTTACAAGCGTAAGCAACAAACAGGTAATTAAAATTTATTTGAAAATTTAACATAAATATGTAATTAAATTATCAAATTTATTTATAATACAGAAGGAGGAGCAGCTAGTTCAAATATTGTTAACACAACTTCGACTCCTGATGCTGTTCCTTCAACCGCTCCAGTAATGCCTCCTGCCATTCCTAACGGTGGCGTCTCCATGCCTTTCAATCACCCTATACCGGTTAACTTACCATTGGCCGCATTGCAATTCCATTCTGCAGGAGCACCTATAAATGTTTCTACTCCAGAAGGTTTAGGACAATTTATAATGATTCCCGCAAATAATGGAGCCATGCCTTATTATCTTCTTGTTCCATCGTCTCATTATCCACAACAATCTTCTGCAGCAAACCAGAAACAGGAAATATCGATTACCACCAATCAGCCACAACAATCTGTTACCAATGATCAAAAGCAAGTATCTATTCCTTCATCAGGATCACATTTATCACAAGATTTGCAATCCTTGACTCAGAGTGAAAATAGTTCAAAAGAAAGAGCTGAGGAATCTAAAGCAAACGAACATACGGATAAAAAGGCATCTACTAAACCAACGAATGAAAAGGATGATGATGATGAACCTAAAGATGGACAAGGATCAAATTTATCGGTACTTTCTCTCGTATGTAGTGAAATGTTGGATAAATCTCATGAGCCATCTAAACAAAAAGGGAAAAAATCAATGGAAAGACAACCTACAATCGACAACGAATCACCGAAGGATAAATCATCACCAAAAGGTTCAAATGGTAGTACAACGCCTAATATTGAAAAGATTCACAGTGCTGTGATAAATGGAAATGGAGAACAAACTTTAGAGACAAAAGAGTCGTCGAGTACTCCAAATGTTAAAGAAAGCAAAATCACTCGTGGTGAAAATAACGTTAACCGACAAGAATCAAAAAAAGGAAATTTTGTTTCATTGACTGAACAGTCTTCTGGTGTAACACCTATGCAAACTGACGTAGAATCACAACCTCCGACATTTACAATTCCTCCGGCCTGCAGTCCACTAGTTTTTTCAATTCCAGCAAATTCTTATCCGGTTGCACCAACTCAAGTTGTTCCAATTAAACGTGAGATGGCATTTAGTGGAGTTAACGCTTCAGCAGATTTTAAACGTGCTAGGCATTCTTTAATTAACGATGCGGCGCAAGGGCAATTTCAACTGGAACAGTCATCATTTTCTCAACAGCAAGTGCCTATGACGCAACAGTACTATGTTCCCGGAGTTCAAAATGGTCCAAATTATCTTCAGCCACCTCCGAATCATCCGAATCAGCAACCCAGAAATCCGATCGAATCATATGAAGGTCAAGGAACACTCTTTGCAGGAGCAAGATTTATAGATCCAAGGTTACCGTCTCCGACTTCCTTCTCATATGTTTATAATCCTGCTATGGGTAATAATCATGTTCTTCAATCCGAAGTCGATGGTAAATCCTTTGGTTCGCAATCACAAGAATAGGGTAATTTAGGTTTGGTTTAAATTCTAAAACCTTGTTTCATTAAAAAACTTAAGAACCAGGTTTTTTTATAAAAGGTCCAAACCTAAGTTAACCCCGGTT